AGCACTGCTTAGGCCGATGGGTGTGTGTCATGAAGGTACTGAGAGAGCTATAAGAGAGCGCGGACGTCTCCTTATGCTTTCTCTCGCTCGCCGTACTTTGATGTCATACACCGATCTGATCTTCAAGTCGAACACACCTCTTTACTCTCGCGTGTCACGTGACCGTGTAATCGCAGCCTCTGCAATTGAAAAATCGAAATTTTTCATATCGCGATATTATCGCAAATGCAATTAATCGTTCAGCCCTAGTTCAAATTCCTACAATCTACAGGAATACCAACCAGCCAGTGTTGGATTTCCATTGAAAACGAGCAGGTTTCATTGTAACATACATGTTCACCTAGATTGGTATGAGGGTTTGGCTTTACTTAAAAGTGTGATGGCATTCGGAAATGAGTGCAACCAGTTGATGAGTCATCTGAATGAGAGTTGCTGTCAAACTACACACTTAAGAAGGGTTTTCTTTAGGCTTGTCGCGATAGACGGTGCTGACGGTTAAGCCACAACACCGGTTACGTCACTTGCCCACTGCGTCACCGACCCCCACCGTCGTTTTGATTTTTTATAGTAATAAAAATCATTTAGTTCAGTAAAAGAACAGACACTACAATTAATTACAAGCAATAGCAGAAAATAAATACAATAGAACAAAGACACAAGTTCAATAAACAGTGCTTTTCAGGTTTTTCAGCTGAGTCTAAAATAATTTTTAGGTACGCTACAGAAATGTAATAATCAAATGTAAAATAACTGCATAGTCTTCACTGTATAAATGATAGATTAATCATTTTTGATGTTACAAAGGTTATTTAGTCAGGAGAGTGAGCACTTGTATTTTTCTTTTGACAGCATTAGATTTATTATTAGTTTGCTTTCACTTTAAGAACGAAGCACGGATTTAATATAGGCTACTGATACACATGCCTTTTCTTTCTCAACTGTTTACGTTAAGACATATACCTAACCGACTGTGTTTGCTAGGATATTCGCCAAAACGTGCATTTTGATGTAATTTTGTCTGTATTTATCAATCCATGCTCAAAAAAGCGAAAGAGAGCTCAATTTAGTATTTGCGCGGTGTAGACGCGGCTGTCTGTGTGCATGCGCGCGCTTCAGATGTGTGCGCAGAAAACTTCTCACACAGCGCTCGACTGTTCCGCAAACAATCTCGAGCGTCTTTTATGCTCACCTGTGCCTTCGGGCAGTCCTTATATCAGGTCCTGTTACGTGAGTTTGAATGAGAATGCACGTGTTGGCGGTAATGCTTAGACGGACATTATGTGAAAATGTGGACAGTGCCAAAATAAAGGTGCCTATTTATACTACAGATATCGATAATTTACGTGTGGCATCGATGCATCGTATCGTCAGACATCGTATCGATGTATCGATCCATATCGATGAATCGTTTCACCCCTAGTTGAAACCATTGGTTGTTGATTGGATGGAGGCAGATGTGAATGAGAGCATGCAGTCGATTGTAAGAAAGGGGCGGAGTTTAAGTGAACTAAATAAATCAGGTCTCGACAATAAGGACTGCATGATGGCCCGGGGATTTGTCACTGCTGCGTCGTCACAAAAGTTTATCAATTACCTTGCCAGTTTAAACATTCAATTGTTTTTATTGCATTCAAGCGCAAGAAGACGCGCAAGAGAACTGAATTCTGAACTTATATAAGCTTATTTATTAGAATACCAGGTAACAGGGGTCCAAAACAACAATAACAACTATTGTATTTTTTGTGGCAGGGCAAGTAAAAATTTTAACCACTGGCCTGACCGGACTAGTAGAAAAATTCCTTAGTGTTGAGCACAGTGATTGGAGAAGTCTGGTGTGCATCACCAGAGAGAAGTCTGCCATTTTACAGGAAGATCCAGTTATGAAATTTTGATAAAAAATGACGAGGTCCAAAACAATGAAGCATGCATAAAATGTTTTAATGTCGACTTTAAATACTATACATATACACTAAAAACCAATGTCTTTGCTAAAAAAAAAAAAAAAGTTGATTACTCCAAAAATGTTTCATTAAAATTACATTTCATGAGTTGTGGGCTCTGTTTCATTTCAAATTAATAGCAAGCATAAGACATGCTAAATGTAACTTATTCTGCTCATTCTCATTATCCACTCCTATGCGAAGCATGATGGGAACTGTAAATCCACTGCCCAAGAGTTTCATGAAGTTACAACTTATAAAGAAAAATCAATGCAGAAATTTCAGTTTAAATGGCACACAATATTATGTTGATGTAATGATCAACATAATTATGTCAACAGAACTCAAAATAATGTTTACAACTTAAAAGGTTTAAATTAGAATTTTTATCTTGTAACCTTGCATTTATTTAAGTAGGTCCTCTGAATTTTTTTTTAGATGGTTAAAAAAGTGGCTGGAGTAGCTTTGCAGTAATTTACAAATAGAAATGGGGTTTCCATGGAATAAATGCATGTTGTGCTGTCAGTGGCTTCCAGTGTGCACAGCTTTGATTTGAATACAGTCTAGTTTTGTTTTGTGTCTAGCTGGAGTTATTGTTGTTGTCTTAAAAGCTTTAGATGGTGAGAAGACCGTCATGCCCACCGGCCACTGACTTCCTGATTCAAGACCTGCAGGTTTAAGGGCTCGACACTGTCTTGGTGGAAAAGGAATACCAACAGTGATTTATCTATAAACTTTGAAAATTCATCAAGCTGTTTTAGGCCTCTGTTTGGCGTTTTTCCCTTCGTTATAAATTGTGACCTCTTACTGATTTTTACTTAAAGAACATATAGGAACATTTAAAATCATATTTACTTAAATGTATTTAAAAATGAAATATAAAGCGTATGAAAATTATACAAAAATTGGAAGAGAAACCTTTGACACTCTTCACACACATAACGCCTATCAGCTTCTATGATTTGTGAGTGAAATTGGCTTACTGTCTCTTAACATTATCGCGATATACAAAACATTCTCTCATTTTCTATTGTCAGCAAAAATATTGCGATAATATCACTAGGGTTGGGTACCGTTCACATTTTAACCGGTACGGTATCGGTACCTGAATTTCGATGCCAGTTCCCAACGGTACCTTTTTTCGGTACTTTACTCTCTTCTTTTTTCTCCAGAAATTCTTTTTAATTTTTCTGAAAATCAAATGAAGGCATTAAACATTTATTTTAAATCAAATGAAAATTAAACCCTTTTATTTTTTGGCAAACAAACTGAGGTTCACTGTTGAAATTAATACATGGAAGAGTTTCATGAAGTTACAACTTATAAAGAAAAATCAAGAAAGAAATTTCAGTTTAAATGGCACACAATATTATGTTGATGTAATGATCAACATAATTATGTCAACAGAACTCAAAATAATGTTTACAGCTTAAAAGGTTTAAATTAGAATTTTTATCTTGTAACCTTGCATTTATTTAAGTAGGTCCTCTGAATTTTTTTTTAGATGGTTAAAAAAGTGGCTGGAGTAGCTTTGCAGTAATTTACAAATAGAAATGGGGTTTCCATGGAATAAATGCATGTTGTGCTGTCAGTGGCTTCCAGTGTGCACAGCTTTGATTTGAATACAGTCTAGTTTTGTTTTGTGTCTAGCTGGAGTTATTGTTGTTGTCTTAAAAGCTTTAGATGGTGAGAAGACCGTCATGCCCACCGGCCACTGACTTCCTGATTCAAGACCTGCAGGTTTAAGGGCTCGACACTGTCTTGGTGGAAAAGGAATACCAACAGTGATTTATCTATAAACTTTGAAAATTCATCAAGCTGTTTTAGGCCTCTGTTTGGCGTTTTTCCCTTCGTTGCATGACTGTGAATGTCAATTCGAAAGGACTCATGATGTAGCCTTGAAATGAACCTTCATCAGACTTATCAGCATGCAGAATAATGCTAATCATATTCATAATTAAGTCTTAAGCATAATGAATGCCTTGCTAATAGAGACATTTGTATCTTTAGGTGTTTTGCAGACCATCTGCACTCATTTTACAGGAACACAATGCTGGTGTTAATGAGAACTCTTGACTTCAATAGTGTGTTGAAATCTGCCTGCCTCACCCATCAGCATGTCGCAAGAGGAAGAACGATCCACTCGCACACTAAAGAAATGGACATTAAGACATTCCTGCAAAACTCGTCATTGCTGACGTCATTACTCACCAATTCATGTTACTGAAACTGCACCTGACGGCTAAAACTTCAGCAGTCCTGCTGCTTTACGTTGAGCTCTTGACGTCAGACGTCTGCTGATGCTTTCACGGTATTTCCCACAGGATTTTGTGAGTCTGTGGGATGAACCTCAGTCTGTGTAGGGTGGCACAGAAGACAATTCTGTACTTTGTATTTACAATTTCAATTTAAAGTTAAACTTTAGTGGACCTTTTTTAGTTGTGATAGTGTCTCAGTCTGTATGCCACAATCTATTATATTATGAGAAATGTACAAAAAGTTTCTTACGTGTGTGTGTGTGTGTGTGTGTGTGTTTTCTTCTAACTCTTTGCCTATGCTTTCCTCTCTCCGAACAGGCGAAGAACACCCACTGCCCAGAGAACAGGCACAAAGTGGCACAGTTTATGTGCCATGACACCTCCACGGTTGACAGGTTCTACACTTTGAACCTCGATGCAAAGCAGGCGGCGGAGCACCGCCACCTGTTTGAGGCAGCCTTGGAAGGTGAGGATAGGGCGCCAGTGCCTGGGACGCCAAAGCGCCCCGCTAAACCGCGCAAGCGGCCGGCCAGCCAGTCCCCCTCCGCCAGCCTGTTGACCTCTGCCAGCCCGACGACCTCTGCCAGCCCTCCCCATGGTGAAGCAAGCCCAGAGTCCAGGGAGTCTGCTTCGGTAAGTTCAGTCTCTCATGGATTGGTTCAACTGTTTGTGACAAGTAGGCATGTTCACTAACTCTTTGCCTTTCTCACTATTTCCAGGAGAGAGACCCATCACGTCACAGGGTCTCTCTTTCTCTCTCTGTAGCTAATGCGCCCAGATGCGTTCTCAGGTACTGAAATTTGGCACTGATTGATTTAACGTGAATCGGTACTCGGTAGTACCGACGCAATTCGGTCGGTACCCTTAAAAGTACCGAGTTCGGTACCCAACCCTAAATATCACTAATATTTGGTGTATCAAATATAACCCAGCCCTACTTTTATGGAGATTTTTTTGTCCTTTTTTGTTGTGTGGAAAAGAGCAACCTGAACATTCTACTAAACATCTCCCTTTGTGTTCCGCAGAGAAAGTAAGTTTCATTTTGGGGTGAACTATGCCTTTACATGTGGAGTTCTCATATAAGAGGCCTTTGTGAAAGTGTCAAATGTGAAAGGGATGATTCAGTGCTGTAAGCTTCTCGATAGTAAAGCTAATTATCAGGATAAGAGTGTTAATCAGCAGCAGTGTTAAAGCAGCCTGTGCAGTTATAAGAGTGTAGGACCTGTAGATGAGCGGGGCTGATTGAGCGCAATGATTTGTTCTCTGTGTGATTATCATCAGCCTCATGCTCAAGGACAGCCGCGTGCTAATCTGCAACCTGTGGCACACTGTGATATCTTTTCAATAACCTGCACACGTAATGTCCTGTGGCACAGCTCCGCTCGCGGCTTTGACGCTGGTTTCCTGGTAACAGCAGCAGTGGCGGGGTACGAGAGCACTCAGATTTTGGCTCTGTGTCAGAAGCAGGCTTGATCGTGGCGAGTGTCAGAGAGCTTACTGAAGGCTCCTCGCTGTCATGAAATCTGTTTTGTTTGCTGCATCATGGTTCGCTAGGAATTTCAACCGCCTGTCGCAGGACGGGTTGTGTAACACGCTCAGCATTGCTGCTGACGTTACTGCAGAGCGTTGCATTGAAGTCCGGATGTTTCCTGTGGTTTGTTTACCGGCAGAGCGTTTCTATTTACAGGTTTTGTCATGCATCGTTTGAGCTTAAATTGGATGTGTGTTTTCCTGCCTTTAGTCGCTCTCAATTTTGTCACATTTGTTGCAAAACATACATTTTTTTTACTTTTTTTTTTAAAATTCTAGGCTATGTTGTAAAAATGCAGCTCTGCGTTGTTGCCTGAAGATCGCTGATGTAGACGTTTGTTTCAACACTGATGATTCAAAAGTGAACACGAGCACAAGCACATATTGTGCTTTCCAAGAGCTCACTCCCTCCCTCCCTCAGATAAGATGAGAGTAACATGGGAAGAATGTGCATTCCTTTCCTGAGGAGAAGGAGAAGGAGAAGGAGAAGGAGGAGGAGGAGAAGGAGGAGGAGGAGGAGGAGGAGGGCAGTCTGGAGAGGAGTGTGTTTCCTCTGCCTCACATCAGTGGACTGCCTTCAGCCGTTCAGGCTTTTATCAGAGATCCAGGCCTGTGAGATGAGTCTCATTGTACAGGCCGTGTCTGTGTGCTTCTCTCACACCCTTTCTATTGAAAGGGTGACGGTGCAGAGCTTTCCCAGGAACGGCCACAAACTTTAAACGAACTATGTTACTTCATAAACAGACCACAAACAAACATCAACTCATAGTTTTGAGAACGGCCAAAGTAATTTAATTCCATGATTTTGTGATATCATGAGCTAGCTTTAATCATCAGCGGTGGTTTAAATACAAAGCAATCTCTTTTGCTCACCAAGGATCGAAGACACTGTAAAAATCAGTAATATTGTGAAATATTATTACAGTTTCAAATAAGTGTTTTCTATTTGAATGTATTGTAAAATGTCATTTATTTCTGTGATCAAAGCTGTATTTTCAGCATCATTACTCCAGTCTTCAGTGTCACATGATCTTCAGAAATCATTCTAATATGCTGATTTGCTGCTCAAGAAACATACTGAAGGCTCCTCGCTGTCATGAAATCTGTTTTGTTTGCTGCATCATGGTTCGCTAGGAATTTCAACCGCCTGTCGCAGGACGGGTTGTGTAACACGAGGCCTGTCGCGCCGTGCTGCGTTCGCTAGCATTGCTGCTGACGTTACTGCAGAGCGTTGCATTGAAGTCCGGATGTTTCCTGTGGTTTGTTTACCGGCAGAGCGTTTCTATTTACAGGTTTTGTCATGCATCGTTTGAGCTTAAATTGGATGTGTGTTTTCCTGCCTTTAGTCACTCTCAATTTTGTCACATTTGTTGCAAAACATACTTTTTTTTTTAAAATTCTAGGCTATGTTGTAAAAATGCAGCTCTGCGTTGTTGCCTGAAGATCGCTGATGTAGACGTTTGTTTCAACACTGATGATTCAAAAGTGAACACGAGCACAAGCACATATTGTGCTTTCCAAGAGCTCACTCCCTCCCTCCCTCAGATAAGATGAGAGTAACATGGGAAGAATGTGCATTCCTTTCCTGAGGAGAAGGAGAAGGAGAAGGAGAAGGAGGAGGAGGAGACTAATATGCTGATTTGCTGCTCAAGAAACATTTCTGATTATTATCAATGTTGAAAACAGTCGTGCTGCTTCATATTTTGTAGAAACCCTTTTTTCCGGATTCTTTGATGAATGGAAAGTTCAAAAGAACTGCATTTATTTGAAATAGAAATATTTTGTAACAATAGAAATGTCCCTTACCATAACTTTTGATCAATTTAATGGATCCTTGCAGAATAAAAGTATTAATTTCTCTCAAATAAAATCATACTGACCACAAATGTTTACCGTAATGAAAAAAAAATCATAGCATTCAATTCTTGAACTGATTGTAGATGTGGCTGGAGTAAATGCAGTCAATAATAGAAACAGGGCATCCTTTAACTGAATGCATGTGACATTAGGCTGCTGCATGTAAATGGCTCCATTGATTAAACTGTGAGTGATCTATTTTTGTTTTGCATCATTTTAGTATTATTTATATACAGTTATAGTAATGTTTTAATATTTTAATATTTTTGGTTTTTATTTGAATTTGTTTTAATAATATTGATATGTGCATTTTAATTCATTTTTAAATATTTCCATTTAGCTTTATTTTATTGTTTATTTAAATTTATTTTAATTAAAGAAAAATAATTAACTGAGGAAATTATATTGTCCCCCATTTGGTGGAAATGGGTCCAGATTAGGGCTGTGCGATATGGACAAAAAAAACCTATCACGAGCTGCAGACTCACTGCTCCTGGAGCGCACTGCCGGACCGCAATCGCATGCAGTGTGAACGCTCTGATCTGTTAACATGGGCACGGAAAAAATATGCACCACAGACGGAGTGTGTGAACCTGGCGTTACGTTTGTATGCCCGCCCGGTCTGTTCTGTTCTCGTGCTCCATTTAGGCGCGCTGCATTCTGATTGGTTCGGATAGCATACTGCGGGAGGTCGGGGCCACGGAAAATCGTGCTATAAAGCGATTTAGAAATCGGTCAAGCTCAAATCGCGATTTTATGACGATTTCGATTAATCGCACAGCCCTAGTCCAGATTGGGCACTCTGCCGGTAGAAAAGGGTGCACGGGACCTGATAGAGGCCTTGTGAGCTTGCTGCATTCTTCAGTCGACTGGACACACCTGCCCTAGTGATCAGTGTCAGGCTGCAGCTCTTCTGGAGTCCTGACGGCCCCTGAGACGCCACTGAGACTGATAGCAGAGGTCCCAGCTCGCATGCTGAAGGAGCTGCTATTTACTGAGCGCATCGCTTCAAAGCAATCAAACCTCTGCGGTCAGTGCCGCTGGGTAATTTTCCATTATTTAGACTGCTTTTTCTCCACTGGACGCATTTGTCCGTGGAACGGCGATCTCTCCCTGGCTTCTCATGCAATACAGTCTCCATTGTCTTGGTCGACAGACAATGAGTTCTTTCAGTTGTGGGCCTAGAGGGAAAGAGATGGCCAGATTGGTGGCTTCAGGTGCCACTCAGGCGCGGCGCAGTCACCCAGAAGGAGAATGGTGAATACTACAGGCCTCATTGGGCCTCCTTGAGTGGTCAGACTGGTCAGACCGGGTGTGATGAAATCCTCTCTGGTTTGAACCAGCATGCTATGAGTCACACAGGCTCCTGTTACCTGTTCTTTCAGTATTGTCTTTCACAGAGGAAGAGCTTCTTACACCAGCATTTCTTATCTGCTTTGGTTTAGTTTGATTGGGGAACCGAATTAAGCTTTTACAAACTTTTATTGCTTACACAAAACATGACTTTGTGAACCTGTAGCTGTTGAAGTCGTAGGACAATCTTACTGCTATTACTATTTATAAAATTATTCAAACTTTTTTGTTAAGATATATCACAAATTTTTTTCTTCCATGTTTTAATTTGAACAGTAAACCTCTGTTGTGCAGCACTTTGTTTGCCAAAACTAATAAGAATTGTTAAATAATTATTTGATTACATTTTAAAAGATTAATTAAATTGATAATGTTTTATGCCTTCATTTTATTACCACCGTTTTTGATAATAAATGTGTATTAAAACATAAATCCATAAATTTCAGAAAAAACTTTTATGAAATTGTTAAAGTTTGAACATGTAAATTCAGTTGATAAGAAATGCTTTTCGATTTTTAAAATGCAATTAAACCATTAAAATGGAATCCAGAAATATTAAAAGGGGGAAAAAAAAGAGTTTAGGAAAAATTCTATACATTTAGGAAAAATAAAAAGAATTTCATAAGGCCCTAAAAATCTATATTTAATTAAACTTTTAATAAATTGTAGCTAGAAGTTTCATTATTTAAATCAATTAGACATGCTTTTTGATAGCTAAAATTGACCATTGAAATTAAATAGGGAAAAACTGAATTTGGGAAAAATAGAGCAGGCATAAGAATGAGTTGCTAGTTTCAATCAGGATGGATGGGTTGTGTGATTTTAGTCACAGGTTTCAGATGTATTTGTTGCTGTACTGGCAGAGCCTGAATAAAACATGAGTTGAGCCATCGGAGAGGCTCTGGTTTCAGTAGGGCATTTAACAAACACAGTTTACTCTGACAAGACCTGTTTGAGCTCCTTTAAGATAACCAACATAACCTTTGGCTGATGGGCCAGATGTCCCGCCTCTGACTACTACTGTTAACAGCAGACGCAGGGCTCATACTGTACGTGAGTCAGCGTCACCAGTAGGAGTAAGACTGTTAATATCTTTAAATATGACAGACTTTAATGGCATTTGAAGTTTATAATGTGAAATCGCAGCATGTAAGTGAATGGCATCACGAAAACAAACTCATCTGGAGTTACTTAAGAAGAGGAATTTTTATTGGTGTCACTTAAAAGCATTCAAATCCCTTGGACTTTTTCATTTTTCACTGTCACCACATGGAATCATGATGTGTTTAACTGAGAATCCATGTAAGTTTTTAAAACTAGGGCTGTGGTATCTTTTTACTGCAATTCTTTTTCTAACAATATTCTTCTTTGGGTTTAAATATATAATATTTTTATGTTTGTTTTGTGTAGCTTCAGTTGTGACCCCGTCATTTTATCTTGAATGATGCGTGTGGTATCATGTAATAGTTGGTGATAAATTGCACTATTGTTAACACGATGAGGATGTAAGAAAATATGAATGGTATACCTTTATAAATATACTTTATTTTAATGAAAATTATAATAATAAGAACTCCGATAAACCGTGTATTGCCGTAGTTGTGTGTTTATTAGTCACGTTGAATCAATAAAAGCAGTTGAATCTTCTGTTTATTCAGCTGCAGCGATAGGCATTTTCTGGGTTTCTTCTGCGAGGCGTATTTGGCGTTTCAGCGCGAGAGCGCCCTCTGGCC